TTTCGTTCGACGTCAGTTGTACGAGTATACTCGTATACGTCAATCGTTGGATGAATGACTTACCATATTGGGAAACTATCGAAAGCTTATTTTGGCCCACCTCGGTGATAACCCTACCCTATCTTAGTATTTTTCGCCATCTGATTATGTTTAAATAATTGTTAATTGTGGTTCATATCGTTATTTCTGCAGTTTTTATAATCTAAAATTTTTAATTCAGAGTTAACCTACTTTTAAATACACACTAAATTAGATTTGTACGTGGTAGAGCCTGGCTGCAGCTATCATTGTTGTATCAGGAATGAGTCTGCTTGACCAAGGAAGAACTACGCCTCGACACTTTTTGTGTAAAATAGCATCTTAATGCTGCTATGTTCCCTATTTTGAATGTGAGGAACCGGCGACCCTTTTTACTGGAAACAAGGTATTCCATCTTACTCCTCAAGGATGAAAACAAATCTGCATTATTCCTGATCGCGGATAGATATTGAATGATGTGGCCTATAGATATCTACATGTCTATGGGCCACAACATCCATTTACCATCAGGTGTACTGTGTGCTCGTTTGTCACCTTTATTATATAAAAAACCTACCACTTCCGCTGGTACCGCATTGGTTTATTAATCCTCAGGTGACAACTCACTTGGTTTGAAGTTGGTTGCAGATTTCGCTGAACTAAAGTTGTTATTTACCATGAACTGTTTTTGTCCCGTTTGCCATTTTAGTTTTGTGAAAGTAGTCGAAAGGCCAAAGCATGCACAGAGATATTCTAGTCACCTTTGTTTTAAAGTAAATAAAATTTACGTGTTATAACTTATTTTGCATGTGATTTATAACTTCCTCATCATCCACAGCAACCAAATGCTATTTGCACACTTGCTGTAACAATATATACTCTTATGAATCGTTTAATTTAATGATGCTCTGTATAGGGAATCATAAAGTGTAAATCTGCGCGCTTACTAAATGCCATCAAAAATACAAAGGAAGCGCGTTTAGTTCTAATTAAACGATCTCTACCGGTTATATATTAGTTAGAAGCGTTTAATTCGTACGTGGGCATTTCGTCAAATCTCGGCATGGGCCGTGAGCGTATGTGCTGGCAGCGAGCATTACGAGCAACTCTTGCCCTGGCAACGTGCTGTTCGGAATTCGACTGTCTACAATGCTCAATTTAACATCGCACGACGCCGTCACGGGGCGGCTCATCCAGCGTCAATTCAGAGTTTCATGTTTTGTAATTTAACTAACGTTGTTTGGTAATTTTTTGTAATTTTACAATGTAAAATTTTGAGTCCTGACCATATTACGTTAAACAAATTTTTTGACATTGTGAAGTTTGAGTTTAAGCTCGTGATTGTCTGTGAATACCGTTTTGAAACGACAAATAATAAATCCTACGTACAGGTTCCGTTCTCTCACAATGGCCAATCATCAAAGTAAAGTAAATGCTTAGTCTAATCAATACGCTGTCATTTGAGTCATCGTGATTGAAAACAAGCTTTTATATTCTGTGGAAATAAATGACTATTTTAATATAAAATAATAACATAATATATATTACATTCTATAATATGTTATTATTATAGAATTTCATCTATTACCTAACTTTTAATCTGGAATAAAAATAAGCTTAATTAATATAAATAATAATGTAAGGAATAATATAAAACAATGAACGAAATGAATAAAACCCTTCTGATTTTTGTAAATGACATTATGTATTTTGGATGGAATTCATTTTGGTTCGTCGTGCAATGCGGCATTCCGTCTTAGTCCTCAGGTGTGACTACGCATCTGCGTTTTGATTCTTAATCGAGGATAAATGTAAAATTTTCATTTTTTCTAAATTGTATTGAGACAAGCTCTACATAGACGTAATCCACGTAGTAATTCTAGTAATAGTTGTAAATAGTTGAGTGATTAAAGTATATTAATCATATATATATATTATATATATATATATATATATATATAATAAAAAAAAAAAAAACAAAAAAAAAAAATAATATATTATATATATATATATATATATATATATATATATATATATATATATATATATATATATATATGTGGATGCTGTGGCCCATAGACATCCACGCATCTGCATTTTGATTATTAATCGAGGATAAATATCCTCGATTAAGAATCAAAATGCAGATGCGTTATCACCCGTGAGGACTAAGACGGAATGCCTCCTTTCCAGTAAAAAGGTTTTCCGGTTCTCTACAGTAGTTATGTGAAACACAGCAGCATTAAGCTGCTATTTTACGCTGGTATTCTGTGAGAGCTTGGTCCTACCCCAGTCGAGCCGACCCATTCGTGTTACAACTACAATATAGTTGCAGCGAAGCTCTACCACGTCTAAAAGTAGTGTCTGTTGTAACATTGAAATACCTGCGTTTAATTGAGCTGAGTGTGTTATTTGCATGTTGTGAGTAATTTATTTTTAGTGTTGTAGTGTAGTATATGTTAGAGAAACATAGCCCGTAATTCCACTGGCTCTCTAGTCTCCATACCCTTCAGAACGGATAGCAAAAGTGCAAGAACTGCTATTTAACGGTCCATCTCAATGTTCCGGTATGATAACGAATACGTAGCCTTCTCTGATTGATGATAGCTGCTGGCGTACATAGACTACATTAGCTACTGACCATCTGGTTGTTTGCGGGTTTGTTTATTACCATAATTTTATTTAAAAAAATATTGGTGCCAGGTGGTGGATAATAGATGAAGTAGAAGGCCAGCCTTAACGACTCTTGCTATAAAGACCGATTTACACTTCAACAAGTACAGTAGCGAGTTTAGTTACAGGACAGTTGACAGTAAACGGTTAAGTGGGCAGTAGCGTTCAAACAATGTCTTCGTGGCGAGTTTGGTTAAGGACATTTGTTCATAGAGTTCGTTAGAGTATGACGTTTCAAGACTACAGAATTTTTTCTGGTTTTCGTTTAAGATGGTTCTAGAATTACGTCTAGAATTAAATGATCCAGTCAGAGAAGTATTAATGGTTGTTGTTAAAGAAGTTTTTAAAAATTTTCGTGAGTGCAGCATCTCGAGCAGGTTTAATTTTACAATTTGAACTTCTACTATTATATAAACATTCGTGTTCTAAATACTCCTGTACGAATTTATACGTGTTATCTTCCGTCCATTTTATTATTAAAACTCAATATAAAACGTATAAATATTCAATAAACACTATCGTACAAACTTTGTGGCGAGTTTCATTATAAAAGTACAATTGTACGTTTTGGCGCGCAAACGTTGCGTCCTGTCAACTTATGCACTGAGCTAAACTCGCTCGTTTACACGAACGGCGAGTTTAGTTGCGGGTGGCGGGAGACGCGCGGGAGGGCAGCACTTCGCACTTAACTCGCCGAAAAATAGCTCGGCCGGCTATCCCGTTCAACTTAATCGTTAACTTGCTACTTAACTCGCTTATTGCCGTTCAAACGAGGTTCAAACTTAACTCACCAGGTTCGCAAGTTAACTCGCTACTGTACTTGTCGAAGTGTAAATCGGTCTTAATGCAGTGACTCAAACTTAACTTGCATCAGGCGCAGGACAACGGCTTTACTTGCTTTCTGACTCCGAGCTGTTACTTAGAATTTCTTGACAGAAAAACTCAATAACTGAGAATTGGCCCGACCCGAGATTTGAACCCGGGACCTCATGGTCAGCAATCGCAGTTACGATCACTAGACGAACAGGCAATTGCAATATCAGACGATTTGCACCATTTGACGGTTATCTCTGAAGACTGAGATGGTATACCACTCAGCCGATAATTATACGGGCTCTCTATAACCTTCAGAGCGGAACCCAGCAGTGCTGACACTGCTACTTGCTGGTAAAAATATTAAAGAGAGTGGTACGCAGACACGTACCCAGACAGCCTCCTGTACCTAGAACGAGGTCTACCATTTAGAAAATATGTACCATAGTAAATTACGTTCTAATAACACGTCGTTGTTGCGATGAAAATCATGTCAAGCGCCATTTTGCTCTCTATTTATACTATTAGCCTCCAGGTTCATTCGATTACGGATTACCTCCGGTATCGAGTTTAATGGATTACCCGTTCCTTTCGCTGCACTTTTATTTTATAGCAGCGCGAACGGATATTGTCAATTTATGTTATGTCATCAACATCGATTCCTCTGATATTATATCTCAATTTTATCGCGTTTCGATTAAATTTCTTCTTTCTTATCAGCTAGTAATAGTCCGAAACTGGACATGAACCAGACTACTATATATACAAGGAAAATATAAACCTTTTTATTGTTGGACGGATTTAACAAAATATCTCTCGGCGGCTAATTGGCGATTGTAAATCCAATTTTTTCTACATTCAACGCTGTTTTTATCCGCCGTCTATGCGTCCCACATCTAACGAGATACGAGAGATGAGATGGTATCTTGACCGTGTAGTGGCGGTGATAGAATATCCAATCCCCGGTATAATTCCGTGGGTGTCGCAAGAGTCGACGGAGGGAAAGAAACAAATAAATAGGCAGCGAAAACTAGAGAATAAAAAATGCAAATGCCAACCTGCCTGCCAAGAGTGGCAACTATCGCCCCTAATTATATATATATATATATATATATATATATATATATATATATATATATATATATATATATATATCCTTTAACGCGCAAGTAATTTTTTTTTGTAATTTAATAGTTCTTGTACAAAAAATATATTTCATATAATAACAATGTCAAAAAATGTGAAATAAAGCAAGCGTTTGATGCATGTTGAGTATTTTTAACATTACGAGACATGGACTAAATTACATATAACTGGGTACGTTAAGAATACTCAACGTTGCCCGTCACATAGTGCCATGTTTTTTGTTTTTGGTAATGAGTTATAGTTTTTAATAGCTATCTTTTTAATGGTTATTGGTTTAAATGTAATGCATTGGGTCTTTCGTGTATTTGCTTGTTATTGTTTTCATACTTCAGACCACGACTAGGCGTATTATGGCTTTGGTGCCTCCTGCATGCGCCCCTTCTGATAGTAGCAATACTTCAGAAGATGAAGACCAGGTTCCGAAATTACTAGAACACGTTGAGGCGAATGACTTATCCGATTTTAGTTCCGAGCCAAAATCAATAGAGTCCTCTTTAGAAAGGCTAAATATCCTGGACGATCTATCTGATAATAGTAACTCCAATATCCAACAAAATCCAGAATCTCCCATATCTCCTTACGAAGAAGATACAGTCCCATAGACTCCACTTATGAATGGGATATTTAGACCGGGGTCAGAGTTACTACATACCTTACCTACATTAAATTCGCCACTTTTATCTGCACTTCCGGAAAATACAAGATCGATTAAAAGAAAAGCTATCAATAGACAAAAAAGGTAAAAAAATATATCCACAAACCTCTTAATTTCAAATGGACAAAAGGTAAATTTAAATATGCAGGAACTGTTGAAAACCTGTTTCAATTCAGCACACCTACCGACAATAAATCTCCTCTTGACTACTTTTATTCTTTTTTTTTCGCAAGATATTATAGATCTAATAGTGGATCAAACAAATTTATATGCTGTACAATGTGGAGGGGGGGCAAACGAAAGGCATAAATATATCCAAAGATGATATTCGTGACTTTCTCGGCATAACCATTTTAATGGGAGTAGTGAAAATGCCATCTTACAGGGACTATTGGAGTCAAACGTTAAGATATGCACCTATTGCCGATGTCATGCCCCTGAAAAAGTATGAACAAATTAGAAAATACCTCCATTTTTCGAATAATATCGATGCAAATGATGACCGTTACTTTAAAATACGTCTTATCCTCGAGAAAATAAGACATAACTGCCTATTAGTTGAAGAAGAAGGAAGGTACTGCATCGATGAAATGATGGTACCCTATAAGGGCACTAGGGCAGGCAGCCGCCGCGCCGGCAGTATCTGCCAAAAAAAAACCAAAAAATGGGGCTTCAAAATGTTTATACGGATTTTTATATATATATATATATATATATATATATATATATATATATATATATATATATATATATATATATATATATATATATCCTTTAACGCGCAAGTAATTTTTTTTGTAATTTAATAGTTCTTGTACAAAAAATATATTTCATATAATAACAATGTCCATAAAAATAATAAAAAAAATATTTTGAAAAACTTTTTTTGAGAAAACATATGTTAATTATAATACGTAACATCACGAAAGATATAAAGAATTAAAGGTATGTAGAGACGTTAAGTATTTTCAACATTGCTCTTTTATGGATGATCAAAAATAAAACGAATACATTAAAATAAAAAGTTTACTGTTTTACATGGAAGTTATAGAAACAATTTCTCTTACTCACTAAGCATAGTCTCAAAGAACATTTGATATATTGCATATTTGTGAAACCGTTTTTACAAAATTTGCACCTACTATAGGAAACAAATACTGGCAAATGCCCAGTGTTATCGTATCGTACATCATCAGGTGGTCTCGGAGCAGATGGTAATTGAATTTGGGCAGCAGCATTATTTTCCTTATTCGTATCTTTGGGAACTCTGTTTTTTTTCAATAGTTCTGTGCATACATTATATATATATATATATATATATATATATATATATATATATATATATATATATATATATATAAACAAACATAACCCGGGTTCGATCCCCGCCGGCACCAATGAAATTGTTAATTGCAATTTTAAGTGCTGATTAACCACTTCCTGAAGGAAAACATCGTGAGGAAACCTCATGTCTGAGGAATAAGAAAAAAAATATTTCGAAGACATGTGAAGTTAGTCAACACGCATTTGGGCAACGCGGCGGATACTTCCGCCCTAAACCCCTCAGAAAGAGGGGAGGCCTGAGCCCAGCAGTGGGACGTTTATAGGCTGTAACTTTACTGACTTATATATATATATATATATATAATATATATATATATATATATATATATATATATATATATATATATATATATATATATATGTACACGCCCGCGCTGAAATTTCTTAAGAATATGTTATCTCTTTTGTATGCTTCCGAAAATATAGCCATGTACCACCTCTTGGTTTTGAAAGAACTGCGATAAATTGCGATTATCGATATATCGATATCGGCCAGGTCGACGCCCCCATGTGCAAGTTATATTGTTTTATTATTTGAGGACAATCAACTTCTGCCCTTGTCTTAGTATCTTTCGAATAACGCTTGATTTTTTCAATAGGGTGCGAATCCATAAATGAACTAGCAGGCACAGTTTTACTGTCATGCCATTTTACAACAGCAATTTTATTTTTATTGCAAACCACTTGCTTGCTTGAACCCCTTCCTTTTTTTGCCAAATTTTTATCTGTAGGTAGTTTATCTTCACATCCTCTCAGTCTATTGCTTCTAATTGTGCCCAAGCTGAATAATCCGTACTCGTCACGTAAAAGATGTATCAATTCAAGTGACGTAAAAAAATTATCAAAGTATAAAATTGCAGGTCTTTTCTGTATAGTCTTCGCAAGAGCCAGAACCATTTTAGCCCCTAAGCCAAGGCTGTTTTATAGTTAAATGAAATGCCCCTAAAAGTATCGTCACCACCATAGGGCAAAAAATTAACATAAACATAAAATCCTAAGCATAAACATTTTGAAGCCCCATTTTTTGTTTTTTTTTTGGCAGATACTGCCGGCGGCTGCCTGCCCTAGTGCCCTTATAGGGTACCATCATTTCATCGATGCAGTACCTTCCTTCTTCTTCAACTAATAGGCGGTTTTGTCTTATTTTCTCGAGGATGGGACGTATTTTAAAGTAACGGTCATGATTTGCATCGATATTATTCGAAAAATGGAGGTATTTTCTAATTTATTCATACTTTTTCAGGGGCATGACATCGGCAATAGGTGCATATCTTAACGTTTGACTCCAATAGTCCCTGTAAGATGGCATTTTCACTACTCCCATTAAAATGGTTATGCCGAGAAAGTCTCGAATATCATCTTTGGATATATTTATGCCTTTCGCTTGCCCCCCTCCACATTGTACAGCATATAAATTTGTTTGATCCACTATTAGATCTATAATATCTTGCGAAAAAAAAAAGAATAAAAGTAGTCAAGAGGAGATTTATTGTCGGTAGGTGTGCTGAATTGAAACAGGTTTTCAACAGTTCCTGCATATTTAAATTTACCTTTTGTCCATTTGAAATTAAGAGCTTTGCGGATATATTTTTTACCTTTTTTGTCTATTGATAGCTTTTCTTTTAATCGATCTTGTATTTTCCGGAAGTGCAGATAAAAGTGGCGAGTTTAATGTAGGTAAGGTATGTAGTAACTCTGACCCCGGTCTAAATATCCCATTCATAAGTGGAGTCAATGGGACTGTATCTTCTTCGTAAGGAGATATGGGGGATTCTGGATTTTGTTGGATATTGGAGTTACTATTATCAGATAGATCGTCCAGGCTATTTAACCTTTCTAAAGAGGACTATTGATTTTGGCTGGGAACTAAAATCGGATAGTCATTCGCTTCAACGTGTTCTAGTAATTTAGGAACCTGGTCTTCATCTTCTGAAGTATTGCTACTATCAGAAGGGGCGCATGCAGGAGGCACCAAAGCCATAATACGCCTAGTCCGCTCCCATTGTGGTTTTACCTTCAATAACCAAAAAAAAGTACGCAAAACCCAAATAACCAAGCAAATACACTAAAAGAAATTCGCATAATTTCAAACAAACCCAAATGCATTACATTTAAACCAATAACCATTAAAAAGATAGCTATTAAAAACTATAACTCATTACCAAAAAAAAAAGCATAAAAACACCGTATAAAACAGCATTAGTGTTACTCTATGTGACGGGCAACGTTGAGTATTCTTAACGTACCCAGTTATATGTATTTTAGTCCATGTCTCGTAATGTTAAAAATACTCAACATGCATCAAACGCTTGCTTTATTTCATTAGTAAATGCAGTTGGGGATGCAATAATAAGATGAAAACAAAGGTTAGTTATTTGCAAATACAATTATAGCAAAATAAATGTACAAATCTTATGACATTCGCGAAATTCAGAAATAAATTACCTTACGGTCACGCATTGCTGCTGCACCCGACGCCATTTTGCGGCTAAGTATCAAATTTTGACGTGTGACGTGTGAGATACTTTTTTTTAGCTTGTCAGTTTGTTTGCCTCTCCGATTGTAAAGTGTTACCATATAAATAATCAACAATTTCTAACAAATAAATATTTTTATTAATAGTTGAGTATACTTAACATTGCGAATTAAAGGGAAAAAAAAAAAAATACATATATATGACCGCCTCGTTGGTCTAGTGGTTGTATTAGAGCGAATGCTGATCATGAGGTCCGGGGTTCGCATCCCGGGTCGGGCCAAAAAAAACAATTATTGAGCTTTTCCGTCAACAAATTCTGCCCGGAGTCAGGAAGTTGGCGGTGTCTCACCCCCGTGCCTCGGAAAGCACGTAAAGCCCCTGGTCCTGCGCCTGATCTCTCTCCGGTCGTGTTGGTTTATCGTCCCATCGGATTATGAGAGTGAGGGAATAGAGAGTGCACAGTGTGCTTGCGCATACATTTGGGCGCTATAATCCTGTCCTGCGACATTATATATATATATATATATATATATATATATATATATATATATATATATATATATATAGCCGACTATCAAATTATCTACGTCAGAAGCAATCCCATAGTGAATTTTCGCTTATTACTTAAACCGCCTTCCGACCATTAAATACTAAGTCTTACCGCAAAACCAACTTGAAGTATCCCAACCTGTTCTATATTATATATAATATTTAAGTCAAATTAACTAATTGTGTGGCTTGGGATATTATAAATACATATTTTAGACTTTCTTCTTAAATATATATAGGTATTATTGATTTGCAGATACACTAATGTACACATCATCATACAGATCGTTTTTTGAATGCTCTTTTTAAATCCCTTAGCGCTCATCTTGAATCTCATTTTCGTAAAGGGTTGAATTACGCCATTGCTACTATTTACCTGGTATTCTGTAGAGGTGTCCTTCCCCGCTTTCTACACTATACTACTATATCCACGTAGATAACTTATTTGATGTTTATTTTTATTTATACATTTTTAAGGCATACCTCGTAATAGAATCACGTGGTAGAGTCACGATGCAGCTATATTATGGTTGTAGTACGAATGGATCGACCCGACCGGGGTTAGACCACACTTTCACGGAATACGAGCGTAAAATAGCAGTTTAATGCTGCTGTATTGCGTATGGTGAATGTAGAGAACCGGAGATCCTTTTTACTGGAAACGAGGCATTCCATCTTAATCGTCGAGACTGGCAACGAACCTGCATTTCGCATACATATATACATATAATATACATATATATATATATATATATATATGTATGTATGTATATATATTTATATATATAGCCCTTAAGGATAAAGAGTGGGATTAGATATGGCGGCTCGTATCGTCAACAAGTACAGTACCAATAGCGAAAACCCGCTAATAACGATATATCGTTATAACGTTAGCTAATTCGGATAATTGGAAATTTTCTATTTATAAGAAAATATTTGAAGTGTCATCAGAAAGACTCTGCTACCCATCTCCTGGTTCATTTTCTTTCACATTTTACGGCATCCACGATATAGGGTAGTCAATATTCTTATACAGCCACTACTATCGTATGTAGTTGTTTGAAAGCCATTACACCCCAATGTAAAGGCGACAAGACATGGTTAATTTTTAACGTTAGTTGTATTATAAATTATCCCAAATAAAAGCACAATAAACTATGTAAATTGTTCGTTTATCGTTCATTAGTGACTTACGCCGGCTTCAATAAACATTGAACGAAAAATGAAGAACGTAAATACAACATCTAAACGGGAAATGTGTGAAATATGTACAGAGTAGGGAAATCTGGATATTTCCCTACTCTGTACATATTTTCCTTTCAAGAGGTTGTTTTTACTGTCCCATATAATGTACTTGAAATTACGTTCAACACGAATGAACATCAGCAAAAAATCATTCACTGACAATGTACCCTCTAACGTCAAAAACATCCAAATCATGTACATTTAGTGTATTCCTGTCTTTAATTTTGCATCAATTTAAAAACGTGCCTAGATATGTTGACTGGCACTAATACTACTATATACTATATACTACTATATATAATGATCGACAAACTCATCTTCCCTGTACATATATATTTCATAAATAACTATCAAAATTAATCGTCGTGTGCGAATTAACTAAAAAATCAACGCAAGTGGTAGAAAGAAACTTTATTATCAGAAATTGAAGTTTCATTTATATTTTTTGCGCGTTCATATCATTATTACATTAATAACAGCCGTTCAAATGTCCATCGTTGAACGTAGACCTCCTCCATATTGGCTTATAGGGACGGAGGAAGTAGTGGGAGGTAATTCTGGACTATTTTCAGTATCATACGGAAGGAGTCCTGTCACCTTGTGAGGAAATCTGCTTAGGAACCCGTAAGGATAGATACCAACCTCATACACCAATGCTGTCTTCAAGTAGCAGTGTTTGAAGCGCTGTGCCGGTGTGAAGGGTAAAGAGACAGTGTAATAGGCGTTGAAGAATTCCATCTTAGTCCTCAGTGGTGAGGCAATGACGGGTTGTGTCGAACTCGCACCGCCTAAAACGACATGGTGTTCCACCTTCACCGCACATAAGGCAGGTAACACTTTCGCCTTCATCTGTGGTCCCACTAGCGCTGAGTGCCCCCTGACGACTTCTCGGAGAGAACAACTTCTTCCAATATGGTCAGGCGCACTAGAACAACACAAGAACTGCAGGTGTCCATGGAATGCAGAAGCTGCTTACCATCAGGTGGATTGTAACTTCGTTGGTCATTTCAGTTTTTTTTAACAGACGAACGTCACTCCCACACTAGGATTTTCTCCTGAATCGTGGAAGCAGTTTACAAACTCAAATTACATTAGAACAAACTTTCAGAACCGGAACAATTATTTGAAGGCCATAACAAATACTTGTTCCGTGCGGGATTTGAAAACACGGCCCTCAGCGCTGCAATTCATTGCTAAGCGACTGCGTTACGGTGGCGTCAGTTTAATATATATATATATATATATACATCTTGATTCTGCTCCAGTCTTTATATCTTTTTTTATAGGATAGGGTGACAAACTAGCAGACAGTCCACCAGATGGTAAGTGGTTGCTGTGGCTTATAGACATCTACATCTATCCTCGATTACGAATCAAAATGCAGATGCGTTGTCACCCGTGAGCACTAAGATGGAATGCCTCGTTTCCAGTAAAAAGGGTCTCCAGTTCTCTACACTCACTATACGAAACATACCAGCATTAAGCTACTATTTTACGCTGGTATTCTGTGAAAGTGTGGTCCTTCCTCGGCCGAACCGATCCATTCGTGCTACAACTATACTTCGAATGTAACTGCAGCATGGCTCTACCACGTACAAGATATATCTGCATCATTTTCAAAATACTTTTAATAATCTTAGTCGCTCTTATTCAACCGTTGAATTATTTGCATAAAAGCAAAAGCATAAGCATCACGTATCTCATATCTAACGCGATAACATGAAAGGCAGAATATGTATGGAGGTGGACTTTCGAGGTCACTGCATTAATCTCGCTGATGTACCCGGACAGCTTTATCGCTACTGCCATCTTTCTTGAAGTAGGTACCTAACAGTTTCGTGAAACTTATTACACGATACGTGGTCTCGGCTGGACGTTGTAGTGTACCTGAAAGAAAACGCTGTACATAAGACCTTTTCGACTATGTTATAAAAGTACAGTCGACTTTTACGTAAATAGTCTTTGATCACTGATTTGAGTGCCAATAATTTCACTATAATCTATATTAATATATCAATCTATGGTAATATTAAAATAATCTGAATATAATCATCAATATCTAATCATAGAATATCGGAAACGGCTCCAACGATTTTAATGAAATTTAGTGTGTAGGGGTTTTCGGGGGCAATAAATCGATCTAGCTAGGATTCATATCGGATAGGAGGAGGAGGATAGATAGGATCATTTTAAGAAAATGTCGTCTTATTCGTGTTTTCAGGCAATGAAACTGCGATAGTATGATTAGAATACGAAGATAAATTTTGTCGGTACCTAACAGGTTATAATAGCTCAAGTGGAACATCGGGCGGGAACGAAATTAGAAGACACTGGTTTGAGTCCAAGATGTCTCGGACTCCGACTTTTTTGTTTTTTTTCAAGTTCCTTCTTTTGTGAGGAAATCTATTATTTGGAGTCCTTTTTAATATATATATATATATATATATATATATATATATATATATATATATATATAGTAGTAATTACATTAGTAAAGAAAATATTTTTTTATTTAAATAATCAGTTCAGTTTTTTTTTAAATAATGTAGATAAGATCGAAAAATATTATTTATATTTCATGTAATTCGTATCTAAATATAATTTCCAAAAAACACGATTCACAAAAAAAATACCGAGCAAAGCTTGGTCATCCAGGTACTTATATTAAGATAATTAACCATAGAACACACACAAATAACCTGTTTTTTAAAAAAATGTCTGTCTGCATCCCGGCTAATTCTTGGAATGGCTGTAACGATTGCGCTAAAACTTAACGAACGAATAGAGGGCAATGCCAGGAGGGATATTTTATTCGAAAATCTTGGCAATTTATATTGAAATAAGGAAAAATCTAAATAACGCCACCTAAATAGTTCCTACCGAGGCGAAACCAACGCGCGTCGCTGGTCATATATTATATAAATAGTAAATAAATAAAGTTTACGAAAACAACTACGAAAAAAATGCACTCATTTAAATTGAAGAATACGAATCAAAAAAACTGACAACCTTGTTACTAGATTCACAGGTATGGTCTAATGTAGTATGTATTTCTATTTTTATTCTTAAACAAATATACTATACTTATATTGAATTAATATAAAGGTACAGTCTTTATTCGTCGCACCCCTACGCACAGGCTTATTCATTTGTAGAAGGGCCCATCGCGCTGCCCCATCGAATCATTTTTCCTAATTTCTCTGATAAATAG